TCCATTTCTTGCACTGATGCCTTGCTTACTATATCATGTCAAACTGCCTATCCTAAAAGCCTCCTGTCAACACGGACTGGGCAAAACAAACGATGTTCCGACACAGTCGGCGAATGATAAGAATTCTCATTCAAGATTGTCATCTCCAATTAAAGAAAGATGTATGCAGTTATGAGAATTTTTAGATGGTTCTTAACCGCCGCTGCAATGAAGTGACCGCCGCCACATTAGAAAACACCTCGATGGTCTTGGGTCGACAGAAACAGGCGAAAAGGGATGCAGATTTATCGATAAAATTCGGGGCGTTGCAGACCGCACAATGCCCGGAGACCGACGAAACGTTAGTGCACAACCTCTCGTCAAAACAACTAAGCGAGTTTGAAATTAAAGTCCTGCAACGAGGAGCCGGATTCAACATGACCGACGTTGACCCGATCACCTTCATTGCCGCCTTTGAATCAGTGCCACACCAAGCTGGCACTGCGGAAAAAATCAATGACATACTTCTACAACAGGTCACCTCCCTCGTTATGTCGCACTGAAAAACTCACTCACTACGAAGAGAAGAACAAAAGGCCCTAAGAGAGTTGAAAACAGACGAGCAAATAGTTATTCTATCCGCCGACAAGCGTCGATCAACGGTGGTGCTAGATAAAGCCGACTGCCAAAACAAATTCCGAACGCTCCTCAGTGATCAAGAGTTTTACAGAGTTAACAACGCCGCCGGCCCAAAGCCACTACTGGCAACGGTGAGTAGAACTTTGGGTCGACTAAAGAAAGAAAAGGTGATAACCATCAAGGACTGGTACATGGCGAAGCCTACCGAAGCGGCTGTGGCACGCTTCTACGGTCTCCCAAAAGTACACAAGCCGGGCATTCCCGTACGGCCAATCGTCTCCTTCCGAGACATGCCTACAAGGTCAAGGTCGAGCGCTGGTTTCGAAATTTCAGCTAAGTCATCAGTCTTATATAAATCGATTTATCTAAGAGAAGATACGACTATTAGTCTTTCGTTTTCTTATATAAGTTATCCGTAAGTACCAGTACTTACGTTTGAAAAATCTGCTTCCATTCCTTTCGTTGGTTTGGACTCTGCTTGCTCAGCTTGCGTTCTGTTAACTATCTATCTTGCTTTCAGCAACTTATATAAGCCTAAGCAGTTAGTTTATTCTGAATTCCCGAATGTTTTCGTGATTAATCTACTTGTTGCTTCGAAAAGTATGAAGGCGA